ACTCTTAAGAAATCGTGTCTCGCATAGCATATTCTCTGAGTGCGAAGGGCAGTTAACTCCTGCAGCTCTGCAAAACACAGCCCTGAGGAGCATGGCTGAGGGCGGTCGGTGCTGAGAGCGACCGAGGCAGCGAGCGTGGGGGACTTCTGCTTGCCAAGAGATGAGCTTAGGTTTAAATCCATGAGTTAAACTCTTCCCAGCTTTGGATCCCAACGTTATTCCTGTTAAGCAGACAGCTGAAACTGCGTGCTCGCTGTGATGTATTTTAAAAATCTGAAGAGACTTATGCTTTTCGTTGACTCTACAAAAGGTGGTTTCAAAATATGATAAACTCTCTCCAAAAGAGACAGGGACCGAGACTGATTTTTCAAACCTTTTCAAAATTCCTGGTTGGCCGCATGTTTTCCTGCTTATGGGAACACTTATTTCAGCAGTGATTAGCTTGATAGAAGTTTTCAATTTTTGAGTCTTCTGTCCTATTTCAGGTTTGACTAAAAATCCTGAGGGATGAAAGTGCCTCAGTTCAGCTACTCCAGCGGAGTCAGGGGCACAGCTGTGCCCTATCCTCTTTTCCGTTACCTAGAGTACGCGTTAGCTCTGCATGGTGAAGCCATGGAGTATATTTGTGTTTCTGTTGAAATCTTCAACTTGCTTCCTTTAATGCTCCCCTATATGTTTCCTGAAACTGGAAACGACGTGTCCTGTGAAAAGCATTTGAGCTTCATTATTTTGCTGGTGGTGCTCATTGCTCTGCTGGCTGTGTCCAGGCCTCACGCTGTAGCTGGATGAAATACCTTCATCTGATATAGGGGGAAAAGAGATTTGCTAATAAGCAGGCATGGAACAGAGGCACTTGCTAGAAATTGAGTAAGTGCTTGTAGAAGAAGGAAGGAAAAAAAAGCCCTCCCTATTTCTGGCTCTTTGAGGAATTCCCAGGATCAAATCCAAGCAACCTGTCCTTCAGCATCTTTCCCTTAAATATAAAAGGAAAATTGTTCCTTTTGTGCTCTCTATGCTGCGTTGTGTGGTGGGGACAAGAGCCAGGCATCCGAAAACCAGTTAAATTTCTCTTTTCTCCTATCTTAATAAATAGTGGCACCCAAGAATGTGCTTGAGGCTCTATACAGAGTGAGGCACCGCTCAGTGCAAGCAAAGTTGACGGCATCTGGCTATTAGTGTGCGAAGGTCAGTGGAAAGAAATGCAGTAGCTCAGGCACGAGAGCCAACCCAAAGTGCCTGATGGGCACTTTATACCCCTATGGCAGCTCGGGGCAAGGCGCTGCTTGCTGCCAGCGCTGCTCCTGCCGCAGCTGTGGGTATACGACTGCCCTGGCTTCCTGCGCCTCCTGCCAAGAGAAACAGTCCCATATGCCATGTTGTGTTTTCCTTCTGCTGGAAATGGTTCCTTGGGATATAAATACTGTATCAGTAAGGGCAGCCCTTATCTGTACGTGATACGGCACGGGCTCGTTCGTGCAACGCTGATAAATGCATCTCGAGGAGGAGGAGGTGGTTTGATGAGGCCGTGCAAGGGGTAGCCAAGGCAGGTGCTTGCTGCAGGTGTTTTGGTTTGGTTTGTTTTTTTGTTTGCGGTGGCTCATTCTCTTCCAAATAATCCCTTTTCCTCTGCTTATTCTTCCCCCCCCGGTGGGAAGGGACAGGCTGGGGGTCTCCAGCAAGGTGGTGACCAGAGAAGGTCAGTCTGGCTGGGCACTGGCTGAGGGCACTTGCTGCACATCGTGCTACCCTCTCGTACTGCAGCCGCACGCAAAACCACCCCAAAACCCACCTGCTCCCTGGGATTGGGACTTCAAACAGCTCCTTTCAAGCTCTGCACTGCGTTTATCTGGTGTGGGACGGCTGCATGAATCGTGTTTGCCAGGAGTGGGGAGGCCTGGGCTCCAGGAGCTCCAAACGCTGCGTGTCAGGAGGTTGGTTACGCTTTGTAATTGATGGTCCTAGAAGGCAAGCGTGAGAAAACAGATTGTGAGTTTCTGTTCCGTAGGCTAAAAGAGTTCTCCTCGGTGAAACTTTGCAGGCCAGCTCTTAGGAAGGGTTTGCAAACCCTCTTAATTTAAGAGAGGCCATAAAAAGCAGGAAAAAAAGTCAGCAGAGAAAAGCAAATTACGTCCCAAAGGGGGAAATTTTTTTCTGATCTTGAATTTGAGAACTGGAAAGAAATCCATCTGGTTCTAGGTTTCCGAGAATGGATGCATTAGTGTTTTGCACAATGCGAAGCCTTGCAGAGGTCTCACAGGAAAACGCTGAAACAGCCTTTGAGACGAGAAAAAGGAGACTGAGCTCTGTCCCGGGAACAGCTTGTTGTGCAACAGGGAAGTTGTGTAGCAGAGAAACTGAGAGCAGCAAGGACGGCAAAGACTGGTGTGCTCTCAGAGGGGTAAATACTTTCTGTGTGTTTGCCACAAAGCCATTAGCTGCCCTTGACGTGAAGCACAGCGCTCCAAAGCCTGCAAAGAACTTGGTGGAAAAGGCTGAGGGACATCCATTGCTTCATCTCCGTGGTCTTGGTCTGGTAGGTGTTGGGGTAGCAGGAGCGCTCCGGTGTCCGTCAGGAGGAGCCCGTTGATCCCTATGGATGCTGCTGGGTCACCTGTAGCTTTGTAACACGGCTGAGCAGACGTAAGGGTGAGCTGCCACCACCATGAGCATCCTCCTGCCGCAGGGACTGGCAGCCGGTGGCACCCGGGGACGCTGAGCAGCTCGGCAGCGCAGGGAGGGCTCTGAAACACCCTGTTTCCATCACTGGGCTTTCATGCCTTTTGGAGAACGCCCAAGCAATGGGTTTTAGCTTTATAGCAACGTTTGCTCTTGGTGTATAAACCATTGAGTTTAACAGGAACAAGTGGCCAATGCTTTACAAAGTACCTCGGATTGAAGCAAGTCCGTGGAGATCATGGTCTCTAGGCCCTTGGACGGAGGAGGTTTTCATTCCAGAAATAGCCGCCAACCCCGTGTTCCCCAGTGACGGGTCTGGGTGACCCTGGTATGGAGGAGCCTGTGAGGCTCCTATGGAGGAGAGAAGAGCAGAGGACCCTGCCCTTTTCTCTGCAGGCAGAGACCCAGCCGCCGCTTCCCTCGGACCAAGTGCACATCTGGGCCCCGATGCACAGATAATTAACGATAATGGCTTTTTAAAAGCATAACTCTGGCCTGCCAGGCAGCATGGGCCATTGCTTTTTTCTCCGAAATGTTTATGATCCTTCTTTTCCTCTCTGTGTCACGGTTGAAAGTGTTTTCTTTATTTCCCTTGAAATCATAATGTAAATCTGGGAATTGGAAACCCATAGCCTGGTTGTAATTTTTTTTTAAAGAATATAAATTGGGGAACAGTTAAAATTATATTATTCCTGGCAGCGAAATTCCTTTTTTAATAGATAATTCGAAGTTATTATGTTGGCAGCAATTTTCCCCACGTGTGTGTGCGTGCACGGTGTGGAAGGAGCAGTGCTGAGAGGGCTCAGGGCGGCCGTCGGGGCTTTCGAGGCAGTGGAAGTGCCGGGAGCTTGACGGAGTCTGCAGTTTTTCAGCTGCTGGCAGAAAAAAACCTCAAAGGCACCATCTTGCAGTTCTTAATTAAGCCCGGTTTTTATCAATGGGAGTTTTGCCTTAGGAAGAACTGAAGGATTAGACTTTCAAGATCTTTTTCTAGCAGGATCTGGTTTTTATTTCTCTTAGCTGTTCATTTTTACGAGGCTTGGGAGCACCAGTGTTTTCTGCTATGCACCAGTGATAGACATTTGTTTCCAATTAGTATTTATTGGATTATTTTAGTCAAAAGCAAGCTTTGTATTAGAGCCCCGCAATATGCACTTTGTTATTTGTTCACAGGACGGTGTTTTCTTTTTCTGCTTGGTTTTGCATCAGCTTCAGTCTACTGAAAAGCTGGTGTAAGGCAGCATCGCTGGGGATCTGCCCTGAAACAGATTAAACAGATTAAACCAGGTTAAACAGATTACAGCCTCTTACACAAGCATCTCTTTCTTCCACCGGCATGGGCATGTTTCTGACTCGCGTGGCTGGAAATAGTAGCAGCCGGTGTGTGTCCTTAGGCTATGTCCGTCTTTCTGCTGCTTTTCCTGATAGCTGGAATTAGACCCTCGCTGGGGAAGGGGCTGCTGGTTGCTTCCCAGACTGAGCAGCTAAAGCCTGGCTCAGGTGGCTTGTGGCAAGATTAGCAGTAGGTACTGTTGGATTTATGGGTGTGCACGGGGCTGACTTAACAAAGCTTTGGAAGAACACATAGGTAATGTTTTATGTAGGTAAAATAACATGGAAAACTTGGGTTTTGATGGCATCTGAGTTCCTGACTTGAGGTCATACAACAAAAAGATTTCCGTGGTTTGCCTTGGGAATTAAAAAGCCAATGAAAATATGAACACCAAGCTAAACCCTTGACCAGTGCGTTTCTCGCACTGTTAATGACTGATCTTATTTTGGGAGAAAACCTCCCGAAACGAACACGGATCTTTGTGGACGAGGGTAGTTGCAAGTAAGTGAAAATACCAGGACTGGCCCCTTGGCTTCAAGTCTTGCCCAACCTGTACGTGTAGCTGCAGAGCTTGGGTTTTATCGTGTTTTGCTAATGTAAATCAGGAGTGATTGCCCCGAAGTCAGGAGAGCGATAAGTGCTCTTGGAGTGATGTAACGTGAAATGAGAAACAGACTCGCAGCCTTTCTTTAGCGGAAATAACAAATATACTTTTACAGGAGAATAAGTGCAGAATACTTGGCAGTGGCTCACCGTGGAGAAACAGGCAAGTTCATTTGGTCGGAGCCCAAGGAAAGCTGCACAGATTCAGCAAGATTTAACTGCAGGTCAAGCCTGAGTTTTCCTTTTCCTGCTGCATATCTCTGTTTTCCATAGTACATATAAAATATTATTACTGCAAACTGCACGTCCCAACGCAGCCTCTCCATGTGTATCGTACTAAGAACTATAAATCTCATTTTTTTTTTTCTGCTTTTTTCTTCTCTTCCAGGACAATGGGCCTGCCCAGGGCAGGAGGCTGACGCCCCACGGGGCTGGTGGCAGCCCCATGGACAACAAGCAGATGCTGAACGTGCAGCACCACCACCCGACCCGGCTCTATGCTAACAGCGGCTCCGAGTCGGCTCTGCCGGGCCAGCTGAGCGGGCTCCACATCGCTCCTGCCCAGAGGTAGGACGAGAGCATGGCTCACGCTCTGGGTCCCGCTGCTGTTCATGTGAACTTGGTTTCAGGAGTGTGCGTTGAGGCTGTGATGCTCCCGGAGCTTCTGAAGCTCCAGAGATGCCAGGTTCAGCTCCTGCTCTGTTAGTCGAGGGTAGATGGGAGGGGGGAAAAAACAAAAAGGGGGGTTTTGGAGATGCTAAGCTCTGAACAAAATGGCCACATGTATGTAGCAACTGCAACGCTGAATTTAAGCTTGTGATGCTGAAGCAACGTTCAACCATTTCTCTCGGAGATGGGTAAAGGTGCTGGTTTTCCAGATCCACATAAGATCCTTCTATTGCCGACGGGAGGAGGTAGATTAGCGGCATCAGATCCAGTCTCCAGGCTGGGATTAATGTCAGGGAGTGTCACAGACGTTAGTATCCTGGTTTTTTGAAGTGTATATATTCAAGGCAGGATGGAGGGTTTTGCCCTCCTAGGAGTGGGGATCACACTTCCACAGGCCCTGGAGCTAACGCTTGGCCTGGGAGCTGGAGGTGTCCGCAGAGAAAATTAACCCCAGTAAACCTGGGATGTTTATAAATATAAGATCTGCTCAATGCAGCTGTCCGGGAGGCTGGGAAATAAATAATGCTTGTAGGAAAGAAAAAGCTTTTGTGTAGCCAAGAACAGTTTGGGTGGATAACTCGGGCTTTGAGACAGGCCAGGCTGTGGACTGCGATGCTTTCGCATGGCTTATGCTGCTGCTGATTTATGTTCCTCCAGACTGGCAAAATATTCTGCAAGAAGGTTAATGTCTGTATCAAATACAAAGAGCAAAGAGAGTTTCTTTTCAGCTTGGGAACTCTGTGCCTGCATGCATTCATATTTCAGTGACGCTGCAAGCCAGCTTATTCCCTGTGCTGCTCCAGGAAAGTTAATGAAGTTGGAAAGAGGAGAACCGCACAGAAAATACAGAGAACAAAATCTGATGTTATCTGCGTGTGAGCCAAAAAGCCAGGAGATCAGCTTGGGTGTTTGAGTAGAATTGGGTCAGAAGTGCATTCTCTGTGAATTTGTGCTTGATCAGGCTGGACTGGTCAAAACCTGCCCTTTTTCATTGAAAACGTGTGAATTGATGTATGAGAGGGCTGTAGCAGGGCAGATAGGCACTCGGGGCACACGTGGAGGGTTTGGGCCAGCCGGGAGTCGCGGGGATGGGTCCTCAGCTGCCTCGGCAGCCCTGATCCCCAGCAGCGGCACTTCTGCCCCTCGTCTCGAGAGGTCGCAGCCGTCGGAGCCTTTGGAGAAGCTGGTGGGTCGCTCCCAGAAAATGCAGCTTTGGCTCTTCTTTGCAAGTGAATTTTGTTTGGGTTGGTTTTTTTTTCTTTGTTTGAAAGTGAATTTTCTTTCTTTCTCTTTTTTTTTTTTTTTTTTTTTTTAAGGGGGCATAA